TAATAATATAATATGAATGTTTATTTAATCTTCAGTACTTGATTGTGTTGTTACAGTTATTGAGCTCTTTCTTTGGTCTGAGTGGTTCATATATATAAGTTATTAAGTTTATTATATTTTCCATAATGTATTACATGACTTTAATATATATATATAAGTTTATTTGTATGTGACTTATATTTGTATATCGAATTTTTAATTTTTTTTTAGATCATGTAATATTATAACTTGCTACTTAATTGTGGTTGTTTAATTAATATTAATCATTCTCACTTCAATGACTTATAAATTCACATCACTTCGATATTACAATTTAAATTTACATTTTAAAATACATTCATTTTACTACATTATAACTTTTATAATTTTTAAACATTAATTTTCACAATTATTTGTAATTTTTTCCTATTCATAAACATTTTTACAATTAAATATAACATTACAAAATTACATTTTATAATACTTTTATAACTAGGGGCAATTTGGTCATCTTCATTTTCTACCAATTAAACTAATTTTTAAAATCTATCACATCAATCAAATCCTACACTAATTCTCATAAACTTTACTTCCAAATCCACTCTCAATTACCCACAAATCCACTCAAAAAAACAACTATAAAATTATACTCAAATCCACTCAAATCCATTCAAATCATCTCCTCCAAATCATCTCTCACAAATCATCCAAAAAGAACACACCCGTAGTGATCTTTGTAGCAGGTGGATCAACCTTTTACAAAATCAAAATATTCGAGCCACAGGAAGAAGAGCTCATTTTAAATCAGGTAGAAAACGTTACACAGCCACTTAAGAAACAGAAAAGATAAAATTGTGGCCGTACCAAAATCAGATTAAAAATTGATACTTTATTTTTTCTGAACAGAAAAAAAAGTGATAGAAAAAACTAAGGACACGTGACAGTTTTGTGATAGTAAGAGACTGTGACTGCTGAATCTATTCGGTAGATGGCAAACATGCAAGATATTCCGACATGAGATATTATTCTGTGTTTTTCTGTAACCATTTTTACTCCTATGTAATCTTTAATTGAATTAGACAATGAAAATATATTAAAATATCTTATTTTTGCCCTGTAAAACATAGGAAACTATTTTTTTTATGTTTTTATTATGGCTAATATTAATTTGAATTTATCAATTGGGACAAATAAAATGAAATGGATGTAATTTAAATCTTAAATAAACATCTTCTTGGATTGACAGACATTTTATTCAATTCAGGATCCTGGTTTCCCCTTGAACCCAAATTCAGTTTCGGTTTTAGTTTCAGCCATGATTTCTCGGTCCACCACCCTCTTTATTTCTCTCCTCCTGTATCTCTTTTTCTTCGCCTTCTTCTCGCAATCTGAATCTAAATCTCAACCTCCAAAAGTCTCCTTAGAATTGTACTATGAAAGCTTGTGCCCATACAGCGCCAACTTCATCGTCAATCACCTTCCCAAAATCTTCTCCACTGACCTCATCCCCATCGTTAAACTCAAATTCGTTCCTTGGGGCAATGCAAAACTTCGATCCAACCACACCTTCAACTGCCAGGTACCCTCTTTTATCCAATTTTACCTTTTATTAATTTTTTGTATTTATTTATTTATTCTTTAATTTTCATTGCAGCATGGACCAAATGAGTGCTTGCTGAATACAGTTGAAGCCTGTGCAATTGATATTTGGCCTGAACTGGTAACAATTTTCTTGCAGCTTTCCTTTTTTATTTTTTCCAAGTCTATCCAATTAGTGCTTTAATGGGGGTAGCAGCACTGTGATAATTAGGGTCGGTTGAAAAAGAAAAGGAGTAATCTTGTTGTGTTGGTTCACTGTAACAGTGATTTGCTTTGCATGTGTATCCGTTGTTGTGATTGTTTATTTATGTAACTCGAGCTTCTTCTCCGTTTGTTTTTTTCACAGGGCAAGCATTTTCAGTTCATCTACTGTGTTGAGGATTTTGTGCATCAGCGAAGGGTCAACGAGTGGGAATCTTGCTATGAGACACTGCATCTGGATCCCGAACCTATTAAGCAGTGTTATAATAGTGAACATGGAAAACAGGTTGGTGTTTTTCTGTGATTTAGTTCTTGTTCNATTTATTTATTTATTCTTTAATTTTCATTGCAGCATGGACCAAATGAGTGCTTGCTGAATACAGTTGAAGCCTGTGCAATTGATATTTGGCCTGAACTGGTAACAATTTTCTTGCAGCTTTCCTTTTTTATTTTTTCCAAGTCTATCCAATTAGTGCTTTAATGGGGGTAGCAGCACTGTGATAATTAGGGTCGGTTGAAAAAGAAAAGGAGTAATCTTGTTGTGTTGGTTCACTGTAACAGTGATTTGCTTTGCATGTGTATCCGTTGTTGTGATTGTTTATTTATGTAACTCGAGCTTCTTCTCCGTTTGTTTTTTTCACAGGGCAAGCATTTTCAGTTCATCTACTGTGTTGAGGATTTTGTGCATCAGCGAAGGGTCAACGAGTGGGAATCTTGCTATGAGACACTGCATCTGGATCCCGAACCTATTAAGCAGTGTTATAATAGTGAACATGGAAAACAGGTTGGTGTTTTTCTGTGATTTAGTTCTTGTTCTTGTGCTACCTTCTTGTCACTGAGATAGTGTTATTGGGTGTGAGTTTAACATGGGGAGGTTTATCCTAATATGGCTTTAATGTTTTTAAACAACCTGTTTCTTTTCTTATTGTTTTCGAGAAACATGAAAATTTTACTAACATTAGTAAGTGAAACTGTCTTGTGGAAAGTTGGGAATTAGAGAATTTGAACAGTTATAGAGATGCAGCTAATAAGGTTACCATCTTTATATGCAGCTGGAGCTACGATATGCAGCTGAAACAGATGCTTTGCAGCCTCCTCACAAGTATGTTCCATGGGTAGTTGTGGATGGAGAGCCACTTTATGAGGTCTGTTTTTGCAGTTTTATATGGGATGAAACACGTATTATTCTAAGTTTCTGAACTTTTTCACTGAGATATACATATACTCTAATTAGCAAATAATTTATGGCAGTGAAATTTGTGCTTTACATGTATGTAAGTTTGTGTAATATAATCAATGAAATTATGAATGTACAGGAAATTCAACAGTGCTTGCAAAATTGTGGTTGCAGGATTATGAGAACTTCTTAAGCTATATCTGTAAGGCTTATAAAGGTACTGATACACCCAAAAGTTGCAACAAAGTATCATACATTACAGAAGTGAAAGCAAAGAATGAGCATTCAGTTTGCGACAAGGAAAGAGAAGAGCCAAGATGGCGAAAAGTGAGTTCAACCATGTCTTCATGGTAGCACAAGATGAACCTTGGTGATACAATTTAGATGTGACAATGCTGAATGTAAAAACAGTTTATTCGTGTTATGTTCTGTTGACTGACACCTCAGAAAGTGCAAATTAGAATTCCAAACAAAACCATGTTCTCCCTAAGTTTTTTTCTAACACAATTACTCTTTTCTAACTAATAAAACTGGATAATAAAGGAAAGAGAGAGAAAAGAGAAACATTCTTTTCATCAATCCTAAGATCAGACACAGTTAATTATATATACCCTATATAAAATGTTAAATGGGATTCCGTATATAGACTTCTAAGTGTAATATGAAATCGTTTAAGAATAAACGACATCATACATTATCTAAGAGTTTAAGAGTTTTTCTGGATACAAACAAAGTTTCATATTAGAGAAAATCTATATGGACTCGATCGAGAGTAAATTTTTCATAATTATTTAGTCTAATACAATTAGATGTATTCTTATATTCTTCTTTAGATTATTATATGATTTAAAGTTTAGTTTTAAAAGTTTTGATTTTAAATCATGAAAAAGTTTTTTATTTTGTTACCAATATCTATATTTAATAAAAAAATTAGTTAACTATAAACCATGTTTAAATTTAGGGATCGAAAAAGAGTCGGTAAAAATATATGCAGATCATCTTCTAAAATTATCTTCACAATTTATTATTTGAGATTCCACATCATTTATTATATATGAAGTGTTATATAATATAGTGTTTAGTTTCGTTGTATATTTTTTTAAACAAATTGATGTAAAGCAATGTGAATACATATTCATAAGTAGGTTTTCTTGTATTCATATTTTTAATACAATCTACATGAGAATCCGTTTTCCTCACATCCATGCATCAAAGGAATCGATCCCCTCAATTCTAACTTCTTTCATAGAAATTGATTCCCATCTCTCATTGGTTAGCGTAGACTTTTTTTTTTCTAAAATTATTTTTCCTCGTCTAATTCTTATTTTATACATTAAATTAAAAGATGTAAATATATTTATCACATATATGCTTATTCTTTAGACTTTTTCAAACCATGAAGGAAATACAAGATTAATAAAAGAAGAGGAAAAAACATATAATTTTTATACTAGTTTGATTCAACTTAAATTTACATCCAATTTTCTTTCAAGGAACTTACACTTGAAAATTTTCTACTATGATCAAAGAGTTCAAAAATTTACAAGTACACCTTAATAATTCTAGATCATAGGATATCAATAACCAATATGCTAGATATAATGTCTTATGGACTAAATTTTAAAAAATGATATTATATTGAATCAAAATTTAAAATATATGAACTAAATTAAATACAAAACATTATCATATAACATAAAGACTGATACATGATATTTGTATGGACATCTGACATATAGGTTTGTCACGTGTTGTTAGATATGATCTTTTATAAAATCATTTGTTATTATTTTGAGTATATCTTGTAGCATTAATTGCTTAAAGGTTAGCCTCAATTATAGCTTGTCAGTTATAATGACAGCCTAAATTATAGCTTGAATTTTGTATATATTCCTTATCAATGAATATGCAAAGCACGGATGATTTCCTTCATGGTATCAGATTAGGTTACCTTCCTCAAATTCTAAAACACCTAGCTGTCACTGTTCTTTCTCTACTTCCAAGCAATTTTTTTCCCCTTCCTTCTTCCCAGTGTTGCCCATCAATGGCCGAAAATTCCAAATATCACTCTGCCCTAGCTGTCACCAACGTGAAGAATCTTATTCCAATCACCTTGGACATGGAAACCGGCCAATATCACTCATGGGCAACCTTATTTAAGGTCCAAGCTAAAGTTCATTCAGTGCTCGAACATATCATCCCCCTACGGATGCTGCAGCCATAACAGCATATCAAACCACCAAGGCCGCTGATCTCCCACTATGGAACCGTCTTGATGATGTTGTACTTCAATGGATTTATGCGACTATATCTCCTGATATTCTCACATCGATCCTCGTGGCTGATGATTCGGCTGAAAGAGCCTGGCAGCATGTAGCTGATTTATTCCAAGATAACAAAAACTCTAGGGCGCTGTATCTTGAAACTCAGTTCACAAACACGTACTTGACTGATTTCTCCTCCACCTCCGCCTATTGCAACCACCTCAAATCTCTTGCTGACCAATTGTCTAATGTCGGGGCTCCTATTTCAGATCAACGCCTTGTGCTCCGCTTGCTCGCTGGCTTAACCGAAGCCTATGCTGGTTTTGTCACGGTTATGCAACAGAAGGATGAATTGCCCAGTTTTGTTATCAATTGCCTTTATTACAATTGATAAAATTCTGACGACAAAGAGAGCTGAGAATAGTAGGTCCTGGGTGGCCTAAGCGATTGTGCCACAAATTAGGAGACAAGGTAGTTAAGGCTGAAGGAAATGTTGGGGAAAATATGGCCTGATTTTTGGAAAGAATGGGGTAGAGATCTCCGGAGCTATTACACCTTATTAAATGGTTCCCCGTCTGCAAGTCCTTCACAGAAAATCCAAATGGATCAAACTCAACAGAAACAAAATTGTCACTTGTAAATTTACGAACAAATATTAGGTTTTTAATGAGTTTTGGGGCATGCAACACATTGTTTAGGTTTAAAGGAGGGTGGGGTGGGGATAGTGTAGTGCTGCCATGACCATGAATAGGAATCAAATGACCATTACCAACAACAATATTATGATCTTTGCTCGAATAAAAATAAGATGAGAGTGTACCTTGGTCTGCCGTCATATGAGAGGTAGCACTAGTGTCCATATACCAATTCTCATCTGGTTGAGATAGTGAAAGGCTATGTATGGCCGCATTAATATCTGTAGGTGTGTAACCAACATTGGATGGTGCTACTGATGCATTGTATGCTTGTTGTGGTGGTCTTGATCCAAGAATACCAACTTGGCGTGGAGGTCTAGGTTGCCATGAGGCTGTTGGATAAGGACAGGGAGGTTGGGCCCACCCTGCCCAAGGATTAAAGAATGGATGCTGGTACGGTGGGTAGGTTTGGTACTGCTGCTGTTGTGGTGCACCGCCCCTTCCAGCGCCTGCAGCCCAGGCACTACCGCGTCCGCCTTTGCCACTGCGGTTGTTGTTAACTCTGCCTCGGTTGTTTTTCTTGCCTCGATTGGGATTATTACGAGCCTGTGATGAAGTGATGTTGCTGTTATGGTGTTGCGGCCGTGAAGAGAAGCCTTCGTCCACGGTTAAGAGGGCAGTGGAACCAGATTCACGGGTTGCTCGCTCCTTAATCGTGGTCTCTTCCAACTTCAAACGAGAACATGTTGTAGCAAAACTGGGCAATTCATCCTTCTGTTGCATAACCGTGACAAAACCAGCATAGGCTTCGGTTAAGCCAGCGAGCAAGCGGAGCACAAGGCGTTGATCTGAAATAGGAGCCCCGACATTAGACAATTGGTCAGCAAGAGATTTGAGGTGGTTGCAATAGGCGGAGGTGGAGGAGAAATCAGTCAAGTACGTGTTTGTGAACTGAGTTTCAAGATACAACGCCCTAGAGTTTTTGTTATCTTGGAATAAATCAGCTACATGCTGCCAGGCTCTTTCAGCCGAATCATCAGCCACGAGGATCGATGTGAGAATATCAGGAGATATAGTCGCATAAATCCATTGAAGTACAACAACATCAAGACGGTTCCATAGTGGGAGATCAGCGGCCTTGGTGGTTTGATATGCTGTTATGGCTGCAGCATCCGTAGGGGGATGATATGTTCGAGCACTGAATGAACTTTAGCTTGGACCTTAAATAAGGTTGCCCATGAGTGATATTGGCCGGTTTCCATGTCCAAGGTGATTGGAATAAGATTATTCACGTTGGTGACAGCTAGGGCAGAGTGATATTTGGAATTTTCGGCCATTGATGGGCAACACTGGGAAGAAGGAAGGGGAAAAAAATTGCTTGGAAGGAGAGAAAGAAGAGTGACGGCTAGGTGTTTTAGAATTTGAGGAAGGTAACCTAATCTGATACCATGAAGGAAATCATCCGTGCTTTGCATATTCATTGATAAGGAATATATACAAAATTCAAGCTATAATTTAGGCTGTCATTATAACTGACAAGCTATAATTGAGGATAACCTTTAAGCAATTAATGCTACAAGATATACTCAAAATAATAACAAATGATTTTATAAAAGATCATAAGTTTGTCACGTGTCACTAACATTGTCATGTGACATAAACATTTTCATGTTGCACAATATTAACATAATACAATTATATGACACAACATTAATATAATACATGAAATATTTTATGAAAAAGAAAACTAAATAAAAATAAAAAATTGAAAATATCATGAGTTCACATGTGATGTATAGACATACGTTAATATCAATTTAAAAAAAATATCATTAGATAATTTTTAAAAACTAAAAAACTTAACTAAATCCAATAAAAATTAAAAATATAATTAATTTTTTCAGAGTAGAAACAAAAATTGGATTTTAGCTTTTTTTTAAAGAGAGTTGCATGGAGAAGTGAATATATTGTGATGGGAATCAATTATCCTACGTTTTTTTCTCTTTCCCATGTTTGTTAATTTTTTTTATAATAGTAATAATAATAATAATAATATAAAAACAAGATTTATTTAACTTTATTTCTATTTATTTTAAATAAATTTTACGATTAAAAATAAAATGATAATTATTCTATTTTATCCATTAAAACATTGTTTATTAATCTACCAAACATATTATATCATTCTTAACTTTTATAAACCTTCATCTAAATTCTTTCATTTTCTTACAATTTTTTTAATCCAATCAATCTAACTTTCACTTCTTTTTCCTCTCAAATTTAAAAAAGAAAAAAAATTGAAACGATTTTTTCTTTTTCGTTTTTATCGGAATACCGTGACTAATATTAATTTGATTGATCAACTGGGACAAATAAGATTAATGAATATGATGTAGCTGTTAAATGAACATCTTGTTTGTATTCACAAACACTCTATTCAAATTGGGATCATGGTTTCCCATTGAATCCAAATTCAGTTTCAGCCATGGTTTCTCCTTCCACCGCCCTCTTTCTTTCTCTGCTCCTGTACGTTTCTTTCTTCGCCTTCTTCTCCCAATCTGAATCAAAATCTCACCTTCCCAAAGTCTCCTTAGAATTGTACTATGAAAGTTTGTGTCCAGACAGCGTCGACTTTATCGTCAATCACCTTACCAAAATCTTCTCCACTGACCTCATCCCCATCGTTAACCTCAAATTCGTTCCTTGGGGCAATGCGAAACTTCAACCCAACCACACCTTCATCTGCCAGGTACCCTTTTCACCCACTTTTACCTTTTATTAATTTTTTGTATTTATTTATTTATTTTTTATTTTTCATTGCAGCATGGACCAAATGAGTGCTTCCTGAATACCGTTGAAGCCTGTGCAATTGATATTTGGCCTGAACTGGTAACAATTTTCTTGCCCCTTTCCTTTTTTATTTTCTCAATTAGTGCTTTAATTGGGGATAGCAAAACTCTGATAATTAGGGTCGGTTGAAAAAGAAAAGGAGTAATCTTGTTGTGTTGGTTCACTGTAACAGTGATTTGCTTTGCACGTGTATCCGTGTTGTGATTGTTTCTTTATGTAACTCGAGCTTCTTCTTCATTTTTTTTTTCACAGGGCAAGCATTTTCAGTTCATCTACTGTGTTGAGGATTTGGTGAATCAGCGAAGGGCCAAGGATTGGAAATCTTGCTTTGAGACACTGCATCTGGATCCCGAACCTATTAAGCAGTGTTATAATAGTGAACATGGAAAACAGGTTGGTGTTTTTCTGTGATTTAGTTCTTGTTCTTGGACTACCTTCTTGTCACTGAGATAGTGTTATTACGTGTGAGTTTAATATGGGGAGGTTTATCCAAATAGGACTTTAATTTCTTGTCTTATATTGTTTTCGAGGAGTATGAAAATTTTACTAACATTAGTAAGTGAAACTATGTTGTGGAAAGTTGGTAATTAGAAAACTTGAACAGTTATATAGATGCAGCTAATGTTACAATCTTTATATGCAGCTGGAGCTACGATATGCAGCTGAAACAGATGCTTTGAAGCCTCCTCACAAGTATGTTCCATGGGTAGTTGTGGATGGAGAGCCACTTTTCGAGGTCTGTTTTGCAGTTTTATATAGGATGAAACACGTATTATTCTAAGTTTCTGAACTTTTTCCTATATACTCTAATTAGCAAATAATTTATGACAATGAAATTTGTGCTTTACATGTATAATATAATCAATGAAATTATGAATGTACAGGAAATTCAATAGTGCTTGCAAAATTTTGTGGTTGCAGGATTATGAAAACTTCTTAAGCTATATCTGTAAGGCTTATAAGGGCACTGATACACCCAAAAGTTGCAGCAAAGTATCATATATTACAGAAGTGAAAGCAGAGAACGAGCATTCAGATTGCGACAAGGGAAGAGAAGAGCCAACATGGCGAAAAGTGAGTTCAATCTTGTCTTCATGGTTGCACAAGATGAACCTTGGTGATCCAATTTAGATGTGACAATACTGAATAATGTAAAAGAAGTTTGTTTATGTGAATTAGACTTACAGTACTTCCAAACAAATCATGTTCTCAAGAATCTTTTTATAAAAAAAAAGCAAAAAGAAAATAAGAGGATAGAGAAAAAAACACTCGTTTCTTGAATAGTAAGATTAAAAACACTTTATTACTTAAGAAAATAAGAGAAATTGAGAAAAAAAGAGATGCCTTTTCTAAATAATGAAGGAGAGAAAAGAGAAACACTCTTCTCATCAATAGTAAGATCGAACACAATAATATATAAACTATATAAAATGTTAAATAGAATTTTATAAATAGACTTCTAAGTAATATGAAATCGTTTAAGAAAAATGAACATTATATATTGTTTAAGTGTTTACCATGGTGGGCATTCTAATGAGATGTACTTAATGCGAACATTAGACACATGTACTCATTATATGCATTTTCGTATTATTAGACATAATTATAAATATTAGTTGATAATTATTTAGTCTAATACGACTATATGTACGCTTATGTTCTTCTTTACATTATATGAATTAAAGTTTAGTTTTACAATTTTTCATTTTGGTTTTAAATCATGAAAGAGTCTTTTTGTTGTCAATATTTTTTTAAAATAAAAAATTAGTTAACTATGAACCATGTTTAAATTTAGATCTTGGAAAGGACTTGTTAAAAGTATATGTAAATTATCATTTTATAAAATTATCTTCACAATTTTATTATTTGAGATTCAACAACATTTATAACAATAAAGCGTTATATAATAAAGTATTTAGTTTTTTCCCTTGTATATTTGATGATTAGTTATAATCATGACACTTTGATTGTTATTATAATAATTTAATATGTTTTTCTTTTTATTTGTATTGCTATTTTTATTTGTATTGTTATTTCATTTTTTTATTCATTGAATTTGTATTAGGATTATAAATACGTTTATTTTATTTGTTTTTGTTTTCTATTTTTTGATTTATGAGTTTTGAGAGTTTTTTTGCATATATTTTTATTAGGAAATGTAGCTTTTGTTTGGATTGAATTGCAAAACTATTAATTAGATTAAAATTTAGTCATTTGGTAGATAACGAAGACGAAATATGATAAACACAAGTTAGAATTAAAGAACAATTTGAAATTAAATGAAATTAATTACGATAATTTAAAAGCTCGAAAAATTAATTTTAAATAAAAGATCTAATTCTTAGGAGTGTTTTAGACCTTTCAAACTCCTAAATCACTCCTAATAATAATAAATAGTCATATAAAATGTAAACAAAACTAACACAATTGAATTTTGAAACCTTATATTCCTTAAAAGGTCACCAAATCTCCTCTATATTGTTGTGTACTCCAAATTGTTCAATTATTCTAACTTTGATTTGTATTGATTAATAATTAACATAAAAAAATTATTAGATAAAGTTTTTATCACAAATGAGAAAATCTCATTATAGTAAATTCTCTACACGTCCAAAACCTTTTTTCTTTAATTTCATCTTGAATATTTCTTTCTCTACTGGTATTTCTTCTTTTTTTCTTTAACACTCACTTGCATTTAATCACCTTTTGATGTTTAGGTAGATCCACTTGTGAGAAAGTATAATTTTTTTATAAAGATTCAGTAATTATAATTCATTAAATAACAAAAAAAATGTTTAACACTATAAAAAAAATTGATATTCAGTGGAGGTTATAAAAATCCTCCACAAATTAACATTACTTAATATGGTTACAATGAGTTGTATGATGACTAATAATTGTGACAGTTTTAATTCTTTTTTGAAGAGGTTTAAGACCTCCATAGATAAACTTCAGGTTCCAACCTTTTTTCTTATGTTTAAATCTTTCCAAATTTCTCCCGATTTTTAAATTTTCCAAACCTAAGCGTGAGATGTTTCAAATTTTTCTTAATTTCATTTCAGGTTATGATTCATCAAACTTGCTTTGCATTATGAGTTCAACAAACGTTTATCTTCGTCATCGTTCGTGGGCCAAGGTTCAGCAAGTATGGTCGTGACCAAGGTTCAACAAACCAATGTATTTGTTGGCTTGGGTTTAGCAAACCAATGCGCAAACCCAACCTAGGTTCAGGCTACCATATTTTAGTGCATTTTGTTACATGAAGATTACTATTCATGTTCATTAGTTACTTTCAACTAGTAAATGACAATCTGATTAGAAACACTATGATCATCTAGTCTTAAGGATATTAGATGCACTATCCAACAACAATCCTTCATACTCTTTTTTTTAAAGAATATAATTTAAAGTCAAAATTCAAATAACATATATAACTCATCTCACCATATTATTACATTATATAATTATATATTTTAAAAATAGTATA